TTGTTACAGAGCGAGTGCACCCACCTAAACATCCACAGATGGATTATTTTAGATCTAGATCGACTTTTCATCTCGACGCTGAGAAACTTGATGAATGCAGACCAAGAAATAACAACAAAAAAAAGCCCACCTCACAGCCTTTTCATTGCCCTATCATGGCTGGTCAGTCTCCATCAAAAAGGGATCTGAGGCATTTTATGATCCTGTCTGCCTCCGCACGGACGCAGCGTGGGGCTGCAGGCCACAAAGGCTCTATTGATTGAGTACAGCAGGCTGTATTTTCGAGGTGTCAGTGCCAAAAGGCTTCGGTCCTGTGGTACCCTGCTGCTATAGCTTTTGGACTAAAACGGTTTTTWAAAAATAAAATCTCTCTTTTGGTTTGTTTGTGGTCTTTAGAATTAGAATCTCAGAGTTTTGAAAGGTTTAAAACTAAAAAGGTTGACTTTGTCTATCACTTTGATAAACATGATTAAATAAAACCCAACAACAAAAGGTTAGTTATGTTCCAATCTCACTTTAGTGTAGCTGCTTGGTGCCAGAATGCCCATTATGTTTTTGAAAACTGGTTCATCTGTGAAGAAAAAAAATCTGTCTGAAGGGTGTTTCATATTTGAAACTAGGGACRCATTCTTTATTAAGTTGATAAAAATACATACTTTGTTCCTTAAATTAAAAGAGCCAGTGCTAATTTCTTTGTAGATGATAAATGAAACAGGTGGAACAGTAATTTTTTGTYTAATCAGTGCTGAAGACTTGTGATTGTTTTGTTTTTGTTTTTTGGCTTAACAAAACTGCAACGTACAAAACTCATCAATAATGTTACATTTTATTTCCTCACATTTAGACCCTAGGAAAAAAACATGCCTACATACGTGAAAAAATATGAAGAATGTGTCAGCACCATTCGAATTCTCAGGTCTGATACATTGCTGGTAACATCTCCAACTGATCAGTGATCAGTTKGAAATGTCTGACCTAAACTTCAAAACTAAAAATGTTTTAGTTTTTGAACCATGTGCAACAAATCAACAGCCACAGTAAATCTGACATTAAATAACTAAAACATTTAAAACCATAAATAATAATTATAAAAAAACACCACAATTCCCTAARTCAGGGCTATTCAACTGGTGATCTGCGGGCCACATCTGGCCAGCAAGTGACTTCAGTGTGGTCCACCAATGAGTTCTTTAAAAAACAACATATATAGCTTTCTTTTTAAATAACTCATTGGCCTTGAAGAAGAAGCACCACAGGAATCTGGATACCTCACAGACCCTGAATAAAAAAAAAAGACTTAAAATTTTAAACAGGGTATCCGTGGGGTTGTAAAAAAGTATTAAAAGGTTGTAAATCAAATAAGCAAAAATTAAAGCAATTAAAAAGTATTAAAAGGTAATAAACACCATCTGACGAGGTATTA